TTTAATGATATTTAAAGAAGTTCAAACCTAGAATTGATATTACAATAATTTAATTTTAGATTAATAAATTTCTTGATTCCTTGATTTTCCCAATTTTCCCTGACCACTAACAATCCTATCAACCTATAACAATCTATATTCACGTTAGGAGATTGTTCCATGCTATTTTAATCAAGTTGATCAATTTCATAATTTCTAAAAATTTGATAATGTTATCGCTTACTTATATATGTCTTACGAGTTAAAATTAAAAAAAATTTTTGTTTGATTACAGTAACCATTTTAAATCAATAACGTACAGTAATTTTTACGTTATACATTAAGCGATCAACCTGGTTGAAATGGCATAGAATGATTCTATTATATTTATTCTTGCATTCTATCATAGATTTATCGCATTATCGCACACTAACTGAGAGATCCAATCATTCATGATAGCTATTGTAAATTACTTCCTGAAAATGGACCTGAAGTACATACACGTCTTCTACCCACGTGTCAATCATCTCATGATCCTTTCAAAGCTCCTTATTCCCCTTTTTATATATTCTTCAAGGTGAGTAATCGTACCCTACGTTCTATCCTTTCTCGGACACGTTTCACGTTTTTCGTTCGGTAAAGCATGTAGATAGGCAGGTATTCCTATTGCCATACTAGTGGACTGCTGCACTGGTACACGAGCAAAACCACATGGCCTTATCTGGACCATAACGCTTCGCATATATCGTGTCGCGAGCCACTGGTTTTCCTTCCCTTCCTCTCCCGCTCCGAAACTTTCGCGGTTGCGAGTGCAATATAAGCTGGATTCGCCGTACGATTCTGCCAGGTCACGAAGACGCATACATTCTCGCGTGGGTGGCACACAGCTGTGCACATATCATGTCCATGCGATACCCTCGATCACATGCCGCACCGCGTTACGCTATTGGCAATGCACTTCCCATTGTCGATGGCGGCCCGTTCGAGCATCGAACCACGATAGAGCGGCCTCTTTTCCACCTTGGTGGCGTCGTGAATATTAAGGTCAACGCGAGCGATCACACAGGAAGCGATTTTCCGCATAATTTCGCATGATTATCGCAACGTGGAGCCGCGAATTGTCCGATGTATCCACGAATTTTTGAGAGTATTCGCGTCTTTCCTCGTTCCTCAAACTTTCCATTAACGAGTTGTATGATCATTGACAAAGTCCGTGTGCTGTTCGAATATAATATCGAACGGATCGGATTGAGATAAAAAATCTACCTTTTAGATATAGACAGAGAAAAATTCGACGATAATAACAAACTCGCAGAAAAATCATATAGCTTCGCTATAATGTTTGAAAGATTCTATCTGTTAAAAAAATATATATACTTTTATGCATTTCGAATAATTTCAATTAACTGTAGTTAAATAATTTAACGAAATGTTTTTACTTCTGGACAGGTTAAATTTCAAATTAATCAAACGACATGCAGAAATATATCAAACCATTAATTTGAAATTTAATTGTGTATTTGAACATAAACCGAGTTACTAATACCACTGCCGGATTATCTGAAAACGGCCTGAAAATATGAAATACCTATTATTTCCATGTTCATATTACAATTTCAAGTTAATTGAATTATCGATACGATCGGAAGCATGTAAATAATTGATGTACATGGTAACATGAGGAGTATTTTCATTTATCGACTTTAAAAATGCATTCGTATCATCTCCGTAATTTCTCGGCAACCTAATTTCTCGGTTATCTCGCACAGGATAAAGGAAAAGCCGCGGTATTCCGGAGAACGAGTGAGCCGCGTAGAGTTACGGCACATTCCACGAGCACGACAAGAAGAGATCTTCTCCGAAGTAGCAACCGTGACAAGTGGCGCGACGAAACTCCGTCGTATCGATACAATATGGTTACATTTCCGTCGTGTCCCCCCCTCGCGACAGCCGTACATCCCTTTAAATCCACTTTTACGGCGTCGAGGGACGGTGCGTGAGATCCGTCAAGATGACGGACATCCTTTAAATTCGCCGGAAAAGCTGCGGGGCGGGCACAGACGGCTCCCCGAGGATACCGAATGTACCTCCAACGAAATGAAATTCTAGTCGGCGTGCTCTCGCTCTCCCGCTCTCCCGTTCTCTTGTCCGACCGTAAATCGACCGGGATGTAGACGACGGGCGGCAATAGGTAGGTAGGCGCACCTACATGCCGAAGTAAATGGAGAAAGCGACCGTTCCAGTCAAGACGATCGAGAGACGTAATTGGCACCGTGCAAACCTAGAGTGGTCTTGATTCAAGATTCCAATACCGTGCCCTTCTCCCTTAATTGCACAACGCCGAAATCGGGCGCGCGCCGGGAATAATTGAAATCACACGAGAGAGCCAGTTATTCTCGCTGTTTAACCATGTTTACGCGACATTAGATCCATTTCGACACAGGCGAAACGTACATCGAATTTCGCTAGATTCAACTCTCCAGAGCTATTGGATTCATTCAATTAGAAATTTATTTGTCAAAAGTGTCAAACAATCCAATTCTCTTTATGTTATATTATTATATCTCTAAATCTGAATTATTTTTATTAAAATATATTTAATATTTATTCTTTTCTATACGAATTATGTTATTTTTTCTTGAAATTAGTTTGTCTTTTTTTAACCATAGAAAACTATTGTGATATTGTACGTTGCTACCAATATGTAAAAAATATGTACATGAAAATAAGCCACTTTTAATAAATAGAACACAAGTGTTTCATACTTTTTACATTTTTAATGACGACATACTTAATAATCTAAATTTTTATAAACACGAATAATCTAATTATTAATTTAAAAGGAAAGAAAAAATAAGCACAATATTAATTTAACCTTTAAATGATATAGCTTAATCCAAGTGTGTGTGTGTGTGTGTGTGTGTGTGTGTGTGTGTGTGTGGCGCGCGCGCGCGCGCGCGCGCGCGTGTGTATTTCATTTCACATTTAAATAAAATAATAACCCAAAACAAGAATACAAAAGCGCTTAAAAATTGAAATCATTTATCACGCTCTCTGTTATAATACTTATTACCAGATCAAGACTGATATATAAAAAAAAAAACGAATAAAATTTTTTAAAAGATATTCTCCGCTTATTCTAATTTTTAGTAGAGGATTGGATCTCGTAATATCATTGAAAGCATAGATTAGTGCTCAATGATCTCGCTATACGCAAAATTTACGTATCCATATAGCACTCTAGTGTTAATTAATATAAATTAAATGGATCTCATAGCCAGCATCAGTAACTATGTTACTGATTTTAGCATTAGCTCCGGAGGGTTAAAATCAGTTAATATTGGCATTGATATGCATGTGACCACCGAAGCAAATTATTACAGCAAATGGTGCATGCGTTCATTCATTTGACGATTTCTACATTCACTCTTCTTTCTTTTTGTCTTTCCCTCCCTTCTCTCTTTCTCTTGATAAGTTTGAATCATTAAAATCGCCTAATTGAAAATTTTTCTATTATTCCTCCGCCCCAATTATTCTATACATAATATTCTGCATCAACACAGTATTTAGTTATAGTATGAATCACGTAGTGATCATAACAATGGAAATTTCATGAAAATTAGATGTCGAATACATGCCGCACAATGCGTACTAAACGTGAGATATTAAATACACAATAATGAATTGAGAGTTACTTTGCGAGATAATCCGTATGTCATTTCAACTAATCTCGATTTTCGTGATTGCTGGACCATAGAGTCGATAGCGCTATTTCAAATTAATTACATTTGCCGCGCATATTATATAATTACTATACATACTATTAAATCACAATTAGTATATAATCATTATTATTGTTACCGACATATTTAATCACATTAACTAATCCGCAACTTTTTGTTACGTCGGAAATTTATACAAACATATGCGTATAACTCGTGCGATCAAAATTTAGTTATATTTTATATACGAGATTTATATTAATGCAATTGTTTCATAAAAAAATTACAATTCTAAATGAAACGAGATAAAGAAACAAATAAAGATTATATTATACTCGTATTTCCGATACCTGTTATAGAAACAGCATTCATTCATAACCCGAGAATACAAAAGCAATGGTTGAGGTATGAACTTTGACTACCAGATAATGTTCTATATTTCGACCTCGATATCCGATATACGAAGCATGTATAATGGGAGCACACATATTGAAATGAAAAAGGAGGCAGCAGTGTGCGTGTTAATTAATTGGCTCGGTTAAATGGCAGCATCTCGTCCGCGTATTTACCTGTATATGCGTCAATAGATAAACCGGAAGCATCGGCAATCGAGTCAATCACCGAGAGTAAAATCACGCGCGGATTTATTCGTCCTCTTCGCTACTAGTGCCGCGCATCTGCGTAAAGTTAACCGCGGTCTGCTCGCAAAACCCTGATAAATTGAATTTCAATTGCGAAAAGCGTATATGCGTGTTCCCGAAATGTAAATCTGGGACCGTGAGAAGCTTACCGCAGGGTGGATAAGCGAGTGAGCGCTCGATGGTCCACTTTCATGTGTATCGTCATCTCCTAGATTAGAGTTCATCAGAGCGGAGATCAAAGTGTAACGAGCTTATTTATGATGCACATTCAATTACATTTTAATAATTGTCAGCGTATAATGCCGCGTACAAACAGAGGATTCTTCTTGTGCGTATCCACGATAGAAGAATACGAATTTCGAAACTGAAATTCCGAAATTTCGTCACCGTGCATCTCTTCCACGCGTAGTATTTCACGGGAACGCTCACGTCGTCAACAGCATGCCGCACGTTGCTACGACAAACTCGTTACAGTATTAAGTACTCTCGGGAAATCTTTCTTTCGTGCCGCGTGCTTAACGAACGTTCTTAATGGAATTACCGCATTTGCGCCGCACGGCGCAAGAATTTGCAGTTCGTTGCCCGTGGCATGTTAAGTGGCAGGCCGGCAATTGAATTTGAAGTCGCCGAGCCTGGGTCAGTTTATCGTGCTGCTTACCTACGTGTCGAACTGGGATAACTTCTCCTGAGCTACATGGACGGTGTGAGCATGTCTCTCAGCGGTCGGCATTCTGAAATTAAACGTTGAATTGATCATTAATCACGATCATTGGTACACGTTCGCATCGATTATATTAACCTTCTATCGGCAGTATGAATTTTAACTATTCCGTCAATAACAGTGGTCTTCATAAAACAGAACAAATTTGTTATTGTTCCGGATTATATTAAAAATCGAAAAAAGCTCTTGTCAAAACTACTTGTCAAAACGGTAACAAATTTTTGCCATCATAAAAGTTAAATTTATATTATTTATTTTTTTTATAGATTTGAATTTATCTAATAAAATTCATAATTAAAACATTGACAGTACCTTTAATTCATACAAAAAAAAATGTTAAATTAATTAAACCGAGATTAGAGTTAATCTTACATTGATGAAACTGGGCCTTAGTCATGTTTGCATATTATTTCCGAGAGAGTTACCATTTCTCTGTTGATAAATTAATTTTAATCTCGATTCAACTTATTCTTCATCTTTTTTTAATTTTAAGAATTAGAAAAAATGAAGAGTAAGTTGAATCAAGATTAATCTCTACTGGTGGAAACGGTTATTAATCGAACGTGCATAGAAAATATAGTAAAATACAAATAATTCGTGTTTAAAATGCCACGAAGGAAGTGTTTATTTATTACGAACATTTATTACGCCTCTCCCACCCAACAAAATTGTCCTGTTTTACATCCGGAAATATCTGGTCATACTATTATAATTACAGTAGGTAAGTTCTCGTTGGTAATTGCACATTGTCATGGTTGAAGCAATACGCACGCAATGTTTTAATTTCCGCATATATACATATATTCATAGCCTTTGTACCTTTTAAACGATCAAATTAAAAGCTTACGCTTTTTGGCGTTATCTAAAATTCCCGGGACATCTGCTCTCATTTTCCTTTGAGATCATCTCGTTAATACATAAGGGAAATGTAACATCATCACCATAAACGCCACTAAGGATCGTTTTCTATACATTACAACTGACGTCTCATTCACTTCCGTAGTTGAATCTCATCGCGTGAAAATTGGAAAAGTTCAAAGCGCTCGTCGCCGCCACTGGCGCGATGTTAAAGAGAACGAAAGAGCGGTTGGGGCAAAAGAGAAACTGCGGCGCGCCGAGGTCGAGAATAGAGAGAGAGAGAGAGAGAGAGAGAGAGAGAGAGAGAGAGAGAGAGAGATAAAGAGAGAGAAAGGAATGGAATGGAAAAAGCGTGGATGAGAGAAGCCGCGGGAGATATTGTTTCCGCGGCGTAGAGCGATTGCGTTCGATTTTACGGGACGCGGCAACTCGCGCGGAACGAATCTATTGTGCGAGAGGAGTTAAATCGTGTACCACCGTCGATTTAATATGCGCGAGTGCTAGGACCGTTCGAGTTGCATGCTGCATACCGGTAACCTGCTATCAGCGTGCCGGTCAATTTTAATCGGCCCGCCAGCCGGAACTCCCGGAAGCGAAAATGTCCGAAGTTTCGCGTTTACATTCAACCCAACTGGATGTTATCCATCGTCAAGATGTGCCCAGGGCGATTCAACTTGTAAATGCTTACACCGCGAACCGCGTTTGTAAGATAAAAGAGCTATTCTGTTTCCTTTACACTGAAATTATACGAGATACCATTATATTATTTCACACAGTTTCCTCCGTAAACTTGTATAATATATAACATACATAGTGCATACAGATGATATATTTCACAAAATTCCATTTTTAAAAAATGCATTAAATCAATACTTGAAGTATTTTCCATTTACATCGATTCTCAAATAATTCTCATTTGTGAGATCATCTCATTGACGTCATTCAATTCGTATTGAATGCGCGTTCTTTTGCGTTTTTCTGATAAGTGAGATAATTAGTGATGTATTCGAGAAAAACGAGACGAGAAAATACCAATACCGAGATTTAAGCTTGACAAAAATAAATAATTGATACAATTTTCTCATCTCGATATTGTCACTTCTCAAGATTCTCGAATTTTATTTTCGAGACATTCGAGAATATCGACTATTTCGTTTCATTTATTTGAAATATTTATATAACTAGACAGCATATTATATAATTATAACTGTCATAAAGACATCGAGAAGGCGAAACGAAAAAAACAAATGATAATCTCGGAAATGTTTCTTTTAATGACAAATTCTAAGACGATATTCCGAGATTCTCGTATCGAAACGCATCACTAACTGAGATTCAACTCAGTTTTTATCTATAATCAAGATCGAGACTAAGTGTTTTAGTGAGTCTCGTAAACTCACTTCAAAGTGAAGTTATGAACCTGTGTTAACATGTGATAACTTTTTGCCAAAGTAAGCAAGTAACGCCATTAATCTGACTGAGTATAAAATACTGAGCTCACTTCAGATTCAGTTTCACTTGTGTGTAAATGGAAAGCAACTATTGTTGCCAATTCTCTCGCTACGTTTACTTCATGAACGGCTGTCATCGCAAATTTTGATAGTTTTGTGTACCGAAAAGTATTAGTATAATAATAAGTGTAATATTAATCCTCCGTTGGTAAGATTGGAATAAAAATAGTCCCATGATTCATTGATCCCACTAGTCAAAGCGTTTTTAATTTAAATTTATAAACGTATAAAACTGTATTTTTTACGTTTTTATCTAAATTTTTAATTTATAAATAAACATAGGATAAAGTTTTATGTTACTATTTACTTCTCTCTTCCATTTTGTACATTAATTAGATGAAAAATGAGCATGAGATCGAATCGATCTCATCATACTAGATTCGTTCTAAAAGTTCACTTACCAACGGAGGGTTAATTTTATGCATTTAAAGGGATCTTAATGTGACAGAATTATCGACATCATAGTTAGAATTCTCCAAATTGGTATAATTTTTACACAATTAAAGAGATACTGGAACTTCGACAGAATCGTTTTATCAACTTATCACAACTTAACACATCATGTGATAGAAAAAATAAGATGTATCATTCTAATGAATATCTATAATAATCAGAAATTAGTCGCAGATGCTAAAAAACAATGTGGCTAACAGTTGAGTTAATCGCTAAGTCAGCTATCATTTTAAATTTGCAATTGATTTGTGATCAACTATTGGCTGCCTCCACACTGCTGCTGCTATTATACGCAATAATACATCTTATTTTCTTCCACCATGTGATTTACAATACATACTATTTACGAAACATCGATAAATCTACTACTATTACATCAATGTTATATGCACATATATAACACAAAATTTTCACACAATTTTTTATCTTATATTAAAGCTCCTAGATTTATTTCTAAAAGCACAGTATTGTTCTTTCATATAATCCCTAATCCAGGTGAAGTTTGTTTTTTTTATTACATACGAAGCATAAAATTTTTATATAAAGCATACGTATATGTTGTTTCGAGTCTAAAAATTGATAACAAAACTGTAATTTTCCAATTTTTTTCGTTTTTCTTTTTATAAAATCGTGCAGTTCGAACTACGTTATTGTCTATATTTTAATTTTGGAGATGGATTTTCAAATTCTAAAAGTAATGCATATGAAAAATTGGTATAGAAATTATTGCATTCGATCGATAAAGTAGATGATCAGTAATTCCTTTAAAGATAAAGATATTCATAAAAAAAGATATTCATAAAATGAGAAAATCGAAAAAAGTTGAAAAATTACAGATACCAAATGTGATGTTTTTAATTTTTTCGATTTTTTTCTCGTTAAATTGACCTCTTTTTTTGTTCTTACATTCCTATTTTTATTGCATAAAAGATGCAATTTTTATAACCAATTTAGAAAATTTTCTAAATTGTTAATAATTCCATCATTTTAGGACCTCTTTAAATATTCAAATCAAATGTAATAAAAATAAAAAATCAGAAGCTAAATAACACGCGCGAAGCGCGCATCTGTCTAGTATTAAAAGATTAAAAAAAGACATGTATTTTTAATATACATGTACCACCATTCCTTCGCTCGTTATTATTTCACGGTACATTTCATACATTAATTAAATATTTTTTGTCGTACTGACATCGCAAGATATATATGTTACGATTAAATATGACATTTGAAACCTGATAATTAACACAAAGATTTACTGATGTTTTCACTTAAATACCACAATGACATATACGTAATATTTCGCTTAAATTAAGCACATTTACTCAACATTCGTCTAAATTATTCATCAAAATTCCTTCATAATTCATCCGTCGCGTGTTGTAATAATTTGCGCGAATCGAGGTCACATCCGTTTTCGCCGAAAATAAAGGGAAAACATCGGCAAAGACAAGAAGTAGATGAACCTATCTCTGCTTGCTCGCTCAAAGGTGCTTCTTGTAAGGAATCGCGGGCAATTGCTACTATAAGTAACTAATTATTCGCGACTGTCCGGCTTCGCGAGCCGCAGTCAGTCCTTTGAGAGATGCGAAAGGTTCCTCTACGTGAGAAACCTTATAGTATTACTCTTCCGTCAGTTCCCTTCATGCTAGTTGGCGCAGGCTTTGCGACTACTTGATGGTAACGTTTATCCAAGACCTGTCAGTATCTTCTTAATTGTGCTACAATTAATGACAATCATCGTGTTTGTGTGTTATACCATCATCTCATATTTATCAATTAATTTGCGAATATGGCGTAGATGATATGTCATGCTAGTCGACTTGCGCGCGCGGAATGTAGGCGAGTTCGCACGAAATCGATAGGAACGAGCAGTTTCCTGTCGGGGCCATGCACTGTGGATGGTTACGTGCCTCCTCGAAGTTCGATGAAAAATTTATGAAGAGTCGGATTTACGAGAGGCGGGTTCGCGCGCTTAACGCGTGATGGTGGGAACGATGACGGTGGCGCGCAAGAGAGTGCTGGCTGAAGAAGAGAAAAACGTCGGCATACGAGGAACACAAAATTCTCCTCGTGCCGTCGTTGGCACGAGGAGAGACGATGGAATTTTTATAACGACACGTTTTGTGCCCGGGATTATTTTAGGGACGTTCTCGCGGGAATTGAGCGTGGAAGAG